CAGCACATCATTTAATACCTTATTATTCTAAATCCTAAATTATCCTGCTCTACTATCCTAAATAATACTCTATTATCCTAAATAATTATTTTATACAAAGAGAAGTTTGTTTATGCCTCAGTGGGTACGGTATCATAAAAATATACTAATTGTAGACAGACATAACAGAACTACCATTTAAAAATAGAAGAGAATCTTGTCTAAATGGTAAGGCAGCAGGACTAAAAGCCCAGTTGAGACCAGATGGCTGGAGAAGGGTATGGATTAGTTTTTCAGTCTGTGCTAACCTGTCTCCTGAAAGTAGTCCCATCGATCCCTGAAAGCTTTCTTACTGGGGAGTTTATAGCCTAAATACAGCTGCAAAACTCCAAGGATTTTCTTTGTAGCATGCACTCGTTGAGCTCAGAACTAAATTCTTAGAGGAAAATTTCTGAATCTAAAAGGAAGAATTCTTATGATAGAATGTCAAAAATACAAATTCGGAGTACCTATTTTTCACCTTGTTTCATTTGATTCACAGAAAGGCAGCTGGCCATGATGGACAGCTTATGGTGCTACTCTGCTTTGCAATGTGGAAGATGAAGCAGGTTTAGCTGGATTGCAGGACCACTGCCAGCTACAGGAGACAGCATAATCAACACTTGGCAAAACCTGCCTCATTCTTCAGCCAAGTGTCTGCCAGCCAGAACCCTACTGCTTGAAGGATGGTAACACTAAGGAGAGAATTTCTGCAGGGGAAATTAAAATTCAGAAAAGAAAATAAGACTGTGATTTTTCTGGGTTTCATCAAGATTATAGAAGATTTTTCCCTTGATCCTCCAGGAAATGCAAAAATTTAAATAAACTTGGGATTTGTTTCATTTGGATGCTTTAAATTATTCCTTTGAGCCTGTAAGGCCTATGGTCCCTGAACAGACTTCTGCAGCTGCTGCACCTAATTTCATTTTGGCACAGAAAGAGGCTAGGACATGTCTGTGCAGTGCAGTCTTGCTCTTCTCCCTCAAGCAGGAGCTAGAATCATGATTCAATAAAATTTAAAAGTGCCTTTCATCACCTGCATTTGTACAGACTGATAGAAACTTCAAACAGAATGAACACAAGCAAAGAAAGCAGAACGTTGTTTACAGGGTGACAGCTGGCTGGCAGGCAGAAACACAATTATGAAAGATAAAAAAGCTAAAATAAAAATGTAAACTATTGATTTCTTAAACTAATTCAGAGCTGTGTTCCTCTTGTTGATCAACAAGGCATGTTCGCCTATGATAATCCAAGGGGAGGTTTGTGGCACTCACACATCGCTTAGGACAGTGAAGGTTAAAGGGACTTATTTTCCCCCATCCTTGGTTTTCTGGTGCTCAAAATGTATTTGGAAAGAACTGCTGTCTGAAATAGATATAGGATTGCAGGCTTTAATGTAAATTGGTAAACATATTGTCATAATAAAAATCAAAGAAAAGCAATCACCAGCAATTCAAAATCCCCAGCATTATCTTGGATATAGGGATGAAAGTATGAACTCTGTCAAGCTGTTTTAGCCTAGTGCAGCGTAAAAAGCAATTTAATATGGATCACCGAGAAGTCAGAAACCAAGACACTGCTGATCCAGAGATCAGCAATCACTGTCAAAGCAGACAAAGCTGCTGTTTCATAGTTCTTGGCCTCTTCTGCATTGGACTGTCACCCAGTGCCTCCCTCACAAGCTATCTGGGACTTGCTTCTGGTTAGTAGGAGCAGTGGCAGAACCTCCCCCTGCCCCCTTGTCAATCCATGACACCTAAATTCAGAGAACACAGAAAGGGCTCTCCAATCAGTTCAGTAAGAGATGAATAAATTCAGTGAGGGAAGGTGTATATATATATATATATATATATATATGTATATATTTTAAATTCTATTTTAAATTATATTAAATGTATTTAAACTTTGACAGATTAATGTCTTGCTCAGCTCCCACTCCCCATGAACAAAAGAAAGATGATGATGAGTAGAGCACCCTGTACTCTTCCAGAGACTCTCAGACTGAGTTACATTCACTCCCTTAAAGACCAATCATAGAAAAAATGAGGGTTTTTGAAAAGAAAGTATGGGAGAGCCTCACTCCAAGTTGAGCTTCATTTTTAAGCTGGCAAGACTGACAAATGAGTCGATTTTCAAGATTTAATCTGCAAGAAAAATTCACATCTTTCCCCCAACTGTTTATCTAGTAGCATCTGTAGACAATATCAGTTTTCAACTCATTTTGTATCCATGGCCTAGAGTTAAAAAACAGTCATGAGTCATTGGCCTGGGCCTACAAAATGTGAAGTTCTGCAGCTGATCACAACCATGGACTTTACAGTATTTAGTTTCTATGAGCACAGAAAGCCAGATACACTGCTGAATCCAACCAGAGATAAATGTCACCTCTAACTGAAAATCAGTAGCTTGAACTCTAAGGAACTAGCTAACAAGCTAAGGAGCACTATTTTGCAACATCATCTCCTCTGATTAAATATTCCTCCAACAAACAGAAGAATTTAGCCTTCAAAATTGCAGGCATAAAGCAAAATCCTCTGTCTACGGGACTTGGTCACATCCAGCATCCTCCTCTTTCCACTTGTGTCCTCCTCAGAGGATTTCGTGCTGCTGCAAGACTTCTGCAGACAGCTTCACTCTGAGAGCAGCAAGGAGAGTAGGTCCACAAAAACACTGCAGAATTTAGCACTAGAAATGCTGGGCACAAAATTCACTGAGCTAACCTACCAGCTGGAAACAAAGTAAGCTTTCTATCTGGGCAGAGGCAATTTCAGAATGTCAAAAAACCAAAGCCCACTTAGTACTGGACTGTAGAGATGTGTCCTAGGGAGACCAGAAAGAGAAAACAGTACATGAAGTGACTTTATATGACTCCAAATGCTGAGAAACAACTTTCTTAGCTTCAACCACTCAAAGGGATTTATTTCCCTTACAAGAGTGAATTAATCCCTTCTTGTCTCTAAATACATGAGTTTTCTTCTGAACTTCCAGGTACAAACCCCCGAGTACCTATACAAATTCTCAACTAGCCCATTCATTTTGCCTGGAGGGTCTATCTTGAAATATCTCTGATAATGCCAAGAGTTGTTTCTTTCTCTGAACAGATGGTAGCCACAAAGGCAGTATTAATGCACAAATGAAGTGGCATATCTTGTACCAAAACTCAGACGGACTCACTGTAAAGTAGAACTAGTCATGCTTTAGAGAAAAGCATCTTGCACCTTTACTTTATGTAAATAGATGATGATGAATCCTTTAACATCTAGACAGAAACCCACACATAACACTTTAAAATCCCATTCCCATGCTCATAATATAGTCTTTAAAATCAATATGTTGGTTTTCTAATTTTTTGTGGTTTTAAAGTACACTTCTATAGACATTTTAGGAGTTTTTACCTTTGAATTAGCCCTAGTTTTGAGCAGAAATTTGATGATGAATTAATTTTTGTCTTAGAACAGCTCATGTTCAGATTTAAGCAAACCATACCTTATTCAGTCACCAAATTATTCTGAATAATTTGTGACCCACACACTACAGGGTAATACTTTATTTGGGTAATTCTGACTTCAGTCTTAGACTCTCAGAATTTTTGGCACGAATGTACTGACAAATTCATGAAATGGTGATCAAACCCAGAGGCAGTCTTTTTTCAGCTTAAAAAAAACCCATCAGAATTATGCCCGACGCTTTTCTGATCACATAAGACATGAAACTGAAAGCAAGACAGAGAGAAAAGCTGTACAGCCTCATGGTCCTCTGAAACAACAGTGTCATGACAGCCCATGTTCCATAGCATTTGCATCTTCAGCTGATAACTGACTAATGTTACATAACAAAGCTTTTTCCTGCTATTCCCTAAAATTAAGTACAGTATGCTTGTATCATTCACAGAGAATAATGCAAATACTCTGTTGCCAACTCTCAAATGGCAAACACCGTCTTTCTACAACTCAATTTTTTTGGCTGTATATGGAGCTCTTCCTTTTTTCCATGCCTGATAACCTGCGTTGCTTATGTTGCAATTGCCTCTTTTCTTCTCCCCTCCTCAAAACTCTTTGGAAGAAAGGATTTTACTTAAAATGAGGAGAAAGTATTGCTCATTCTAACACAAGGTATTGGTAACCAAGTCTGCTAAAATAAGGACTTGCATAGATCAGGAACTAAGCAGCATTTTTAACACACTGCTACCCCTGATCTACAGTTTGGAATTCTTATGAAGAAAGCATATTTTTAGTATCAGATTATTTATTATGTTAATCCTTTTGTTTATTTGGGTTCTTCCCCCTCTCCAATTTTAGTCTTTGCTTTTTTGGTACACTGTCCCAAAAAATTGTAATCTGCCTAACTGGAGCATAAATATATTGCTGCCTGTGAAAAATATGATTAAGTACTAGAGAGCACTGTGATGATACTATTGTCATATATATATTTGTCTATTATAATCTCTGAGGGTTGATGACAAAGTTCAGTTGACTATAGGTCATATTTTTTGGTATTGTATTAAACACATCAACCATCCTTCAGGCTGAACCTCTCGTTATCATAAGGTGTATCTGCAGAAATGCGTATGTCTTATTTCCTTGAATCAAGCTCTACTATTATTGTCTGTACCATACAAAGTAATTTCATACAAAAATTTCAGCATTTCTTGCCTGTATTAAGAGTTCAATATTATACATATTATTCATCTAGGTAACATTCCTCTTTCTAATGTAGCAATTAAGATTTCTGCCTTTTACTGAACCAAATGGGGAACAATCTCATTACAACTGCACAAACCAAAAAAATTGTACCATCCATTTCTGTCAATCATTGCAAACACAGTTCTAGAATTTCCACAAATCTTTCACGTGCACTTGCTGTTCCATGTAAGATATCAGATATTTAGTGTAAGACCCATCTCTAAAAAGAACAGCAGTCTCCAACCTGCAATGACAAAGTGACTGAGTGCAAAAAAAGGAGGGAAAAACGTCTTGTCCTACCGGTGAACTCCGCTGTTGCACATAATGATGTGACAAGCTCCCAGCCTGCTGCAGAGCTCAGACGACACCGAGAGCAGTCCGACGCCGGAGGCGCTGCACGCGGTGTACGCGCAGGCGGCCGTGCGCTTGGAGCGGATGAACGACCCTATGAGCCGGTACAGCTCCTCCAGGCAGTTGAGAGGCCTCATCAGCTGCAAGGGAGGAACACAGAGACAGCTGAGTATTTGCTCCTGAGAGCACACGAAATACTCTAACAGAGGCGGTCATCAGAGATGCACGTAGGACACCAGGTCTGGCTGAGAAAGCCAAATTCCATGACAAATACCAAACACAGAGTCTTCAGATACATGACACATGACAACTGCTAAAGCTTTTCAGTTCTCCCCATCACTATTTCCTTCCTAGTTCTTGCCTATGGAAGAGTTTTTCACTTCCCATGAGAACTGTATGACATAAATACCAAATACAGAGTCTTCAGATACATGACACATGACAACTGCTAAAGCTTTTCTCCCCATTTTCAGTTCTCCCCATTACTGTTTCCTTCCTAGTTCTTGCCTATGGAAGAGTATTTCACTTCCCATGAGAACTGTATCCATTAATGGACTGGGAAAAGAAGGGAAGCCATAAAGAAGCAACGTACAACTGTACAAATATACAGGAAGATACCAAGACTTGTTATTTGACTTGCTGAGAAAATCAGCTTGCCTTTATGACAACACTGTCCTTTATTTATCAAATGTCTAGTTCCTAATCCTGACTAACAACAGCAAAAAATAAAAATAAACAGATGTGACAAAAACATACTACAAAGCAAGAACAGTTAACTGTAGTAAGACTTAAAATAATCCCAGCATTACTGTACTAAGAATGAATGAAGTAAAGAAGGCAGCTTTCAAGTGAAAAGCTTGTCGGAAGAGTCAGAAGAGAAGCCTTCAAAAATGATCTAGCAATGCAAACCTGTATCTCATGGTGCTTTGTGTATATGAGATGTTCACAATACAATTTTTCAGACCATCTAATTCCAAATTCCCACTTCTCTTTATTCCAGAAACACTTAAAGATTCCAACAAATCCCCATGCTACTCAAAGAATTAATCTATTGAAAGACAGATGAATTCCCTAAAGACAGTTTTAACTAGTTAGAGAAATGGCAGCCTCACTTGGCCCTATGATAGCTACTTCACTGAAAAGCATAGATGTCAAGAAAATCAGCTACAAAAATTAGCATATTTTAACCCAGGTGCCAACAGATTTAACTTGGTTTAGGTCCTACTGGATTAATTTGCATCTGTCTAAATTGATTTTAGCTGGTGTCATCTACTAATGCTACGGACAATGAAGTGAAAGGTACAGCCAAAACTGGATCATGCACTCACTCTTGGCTTGCTCCAGTTGCAAAATAAATGCATTAACTTAACCTAGCATCCCCAGGTCAGATATGGATTATGAGATGCTTTTCTCTTGCCCTTGAATTTTTTGCTGAAATAGATAGGGAACAGGTTTAGGGGCAACAAACAGTTCCCTCACAGCTAAACATCCCCTGCTGCACCTGTGACTGCTAGGCAAGCTGTTGACTCCCCAGGGAAGGTGTGGCAAATGTCCTTCTTCCCCCGTGTGCAATCCTGCATGGATCCAAGAAACAGGAACCACCAGTCTGTTAAAACCAGGGCTGACATAAAATTTTAGTCTGTCATAGGGCTCAGCTGATGAGCACTGTTATTTCTCAAGCCATAGTAGCTCAATCACTTTCATAGGCAAGACCCCAGGAATTTCTTTATTCCCCCTACTGGGGTGCAATACAGGAATCAACTCTTCAACAAGAGAAGAGAGCATTAAATGAATTTTTATAGCCCCTGGGATCTCTCAGCCACAGAGGTTTAAAGACAGATGAAAGCATTTGAAGAAAGCCTAAATAAGAAGATTCAGAAGAAACTCTTCTGAGCAGGATGCTGAAGGAGTATTTGGAAAATCACTTCCAGCTTTCAGAACAGAGAATTTCTGCCTGCACCTGTCCTTCCCCATCATACCCCATGTGCTCCTAGGGCAGTAGCATTGCTCTGAAAGCACAGTGAAAAAGGAAGGTAATGATTCCTCTTCTCAAACACAGAAACTCTTCCACCACACCTTTTAATACAGAACCACATGGTACCACCTACCCCAAAAAACACAGGTGGGACAAAAAGCTGCAAGAGAGCTCCTCCTTCCCCTGACCTTCTCCCCCAGCTTTAAACAATTCAATTTTTGGTGGAATAAGTCTCAGTAACACAGTGTGTAACATGCAGAGTTTAATTAGGCACTTAACATTTTTATTTACCTTATCTATATAAGCTGCTTTAGATGTTGAATTTGGAGGCAAGTTTGACTTGTCCAGGTAGAACGCCCTGAAAGAACAAACAGACAAAGTAAGGCAAAAATTAATTGTTTCAAGTCCTGAACAAAATTTGTAAAAGGGATTATTCTTAGACACCATTCTAAGGTTGCAGTGTTTTTTCACCTTATGGTAACAGAGGGTGAAGAAGTAATACAATAATCAACATGCACTATCAGTCCTTCTTTTAAAATAATTAAATAAAAAGTAATAAAATAAAGAACATTCTTTTGTTCTGGAGACAAAAAAACTGTCCCTCTGCCCTTTGACAGTACAGTGGAAAATTTTAACATTCAGTTATCAGGCAAAAAACGGGATCTGAAAGTGGTTTTCAAGAAAGGCTATCCATGGAAAGAAAGGTCTGTGCCAACTGTATGGATTTTAAGAGTGACTTTGGGAAAACTGGCATAGAAACAGTTCCTGAGCTTCTCATTCTACAAGCTTTTTTTATATTTGCTGTATATAACTGCAGTAGCATAAAAGCAGAATCCCCAACATGAAACACCGTACTGACAGAGGAAACATTTACATGGTCATAATATGAAAAGAAACAAAAAAGCAGAAACCCTCCAGGGGACAAACATGCATTATACATGTCTTCTTCAATTCAGGAACCCTAGAGGAATTTTTGTTTTAACTTTCCAACTTATAAGCACCTTAATTGCTCTCCACAGAGGAATGATCATTAAGCATCTCACAGGTAAATATCACACTATCTTTGTGATAAGATCACAGGTTTTACTGCCTCTGCAGCAACACTTAAATAAGTCTGTCACTGCCACAGCAGTCAAGTTGGACCAGATGATCTTTAAAGGTTGTCTAACCCAAACCATTCCATGTTTCTCTGATCACAAAACTCATTCTGCTGGTAGTGAAGCCCCAAAAATCTCCTGTGGCAGCTAAAATAGAAATATTTGGTAGGCCTCCCTACCTACCAGTGAGAACCAAGCAGCAGCTACTCATGCAGAAACTCTGGGCAACGTTTAAGTTAAACAGAACAAGAGAAAGCCAACTGAACTGTGGAACACATAGGAAAAAAAGGAGATTCTCCAGTGACAACCTCAAGGTATCACTGTGATCTATCTCCAGTGTGTGTGCTCAAGGCACAGACCTGACTAAAGGTCACAAGTGAGCCACAACCCAGGCTGGAACTAAGGAGTTTGGCAGACAAATTGCAGTTGCTCTATAATGTGAAAAAAAAAAAAAAAAAAAACAAAAAAAAACACCAAAACCCAAAAAAACAAAAAAAACCCAAACCAACCAACCAAAAAAAAAACAACAATGAAAAAAAAATATTGTCTTCTTTCATCCTAGCTCTCAAACAAGAGGATCAGCTGGATCACCCAGTCATTAAAGCACTGATTCATGTAGTACACAAGGCCAAAAATTGCTCCCCCTCTTATTTTATTATTTCATCTGGGAGAGAAGTTACATTGTTGCATACTTGCTGGGCAGGGGTGCAGACTGCAGATCTGAATACCTGTTACTCTTCAATAATCTGGAATATTTGAGTTCATTAAAAAATCCATCCAATCCATCCATTATTTGTCCAATCCATACATTATTTGTAGTTTTGAAAAGCAAGTTCTCCCAAATTTCAGGTTTGAATTAATTCCCTCAGAAAGCACAGCAAAGATAAACAAGTTCTGTTATTCCATTAAGCCTGTTGCATGATCCACAATGCACTCTGTGTCAAAGGAAGCTGGACACTATTGAAAGGAAAAGAGGTTTGTGGAGAAAATTACTCATAAATCACTTTGAGTGGCCACAGCACATAAAAGCTACCTCAGCAGCAGCAGACCAACCTTTTTTCTTTGTTAGCTGAGCTACAAAACAAAGCCTCATGCTGCTCTCCCCTGAACATTGTCAGACTGAAAGCCTATACTGCTTTTTACTGCCATAGAACAGCAAAATCTGCTTCATTCAGAGACTGTTCAGCAATCCCATCTCTTTGGACTGTTATTCCAGCAAATTCATCTGCATTAAATGAAACCAGAAACCAAATATGGAACAGTACACTAATTAATGGAGTGCATGGAAAATAATTAACTCAGGGTATACAATGAAGTAACATGGACACTGGAATGGAATATATGCTTATAGAAATTACTCCATTAATTCAGGCAATTATTCACTAACCTAAAAAAAACCAAATAAAAAATCAACTATACACAACATTCATTTTAAATATAAAAATATCCTGTTACAAGTGAAACTATTCCTTCCCCATCAGATAATACTCCCAGATGTTTCTCAAGTGCTTCATTTTTATTGCTTTTCATAAAAACTGTCTTCAGTATTTTACAGAACATGACAACCTGTGGACAGCATATAAATTTCCAAAGCACTTCGCTTAATTACTAAATGCTTGTTAAGGTCCTTAATCATATTTTATGGGAAAAGTTAATGGCAATCTTGGCATGGTGCCCAATTTGGACAGTATTTTCTAATCCATTTGAAATGAACCAGAATGAAATCATAGTTCTTTGTCTCCAATATGATGTTAGTTTAGCTTTTAAAGCCTTGCAATTTCTCTAAGATCCAGCACAAAAGCCTTCCTTTAAAAAAAGAAAAGGTAGATAATCCAATACACAATAAATCTACTGAGGATTATTGCTGTGTTCAACTTTTGTAAGATATCCCCTACGCAGCAATGTCAAATAACAGGGACAAGTATCTCAGGGAAAACTAACACCAGGATAAGGTAACAAACATCTTCGGGTTCAAAAAGTAAAATCTCTCACAAGATAAAGGCTTCCTAAAATGTCTTCCCAGAACCTGAGTACAAAGGAAATTAAGAAGTACTGATGTTTTCTTAGTGAACCCTTAGTACCCTCCAAAACTGACATGGACATGTATAAAGTCCTGAAAACTGAAATTTTGCAAATAGAAGCCTAAAAAGGTTTCAGACCTGCAGAGACACACATTCCTGAGTAACTTGGAACAGAAAAGATAATTCAAGCAAATCCAAGTGTTTAGTCTTATTCTCAATTTCTTGTGCCAGTAAGCCCACAGTGTTATCCTAGGTATTGCAAATCTTTTTTTTTAAATACAAGGATAGTAAAGAAATAATTGGAAAGGGGGAGGTAATTGGGTTATGGCATTAAATACCATCAAGCTGATGGTTCTGCTCTAGAAAGGTTTTGCTTTGATGTTATAGTACAGAAGAATTTAGGATTTTATTTCCACAGCCTGCGTGGCAAACATATAAATTAGTTCCTACTGTCCTCAACAGAAGCATGGAAATGGATCTGAATTCTACTAGATTTTTTGTCCTTCAGTCACAAGATAGTCAAGACCATCTAGAAAAGCACAGTCAGCAAACTGAGAAAGGACACATCAGAACAGAGGTGTGGAGCAGGGAAGTGTGGGAGTCCCTACTTGTTTTCTTCAGCTCGAATTAAAAAGCCCATATTTATGACACAGATAAACAGTATCTCTGTATTTCTGCATCTGTGTGCACACATACTTTTGTATTTCTTTAATAACAATTCTATGTTCTGCCATCTAGTTTTTAAATACACAGGCATAACATGCTTATTGTATAAATGTGTGTGCATATAAATTAATACATATACATTTGTAAATACATTTATATACCTCCAATATATATGTTCAAATTAATTTTTTCTGCAGTAAATGTGTCCATTTTCTGTTATAGCAAATTATTTAATGTATTCTTCCCACTAAATGGCAAATCTCAATAACGAAATATAAATTACCAAGCATAACGACAAATTACCAAGATAAGTACCAAGTATAATGACCTTCTCAACCCATGCTAAGACTCAGCAATTTTAGATCATGTCTCCTAGCATCTGTCAGCAATACAATCCTATGTACAGCATCACCAGCATCCTTAGTGGTTACAGAAAGTTTTAATTTTAACAACTGAAAAGCTTCATGACAGTATCATGATTTTAAATAGTCAAAGAGTAATATTTTGACCTCTCACAACTATTGTGAAAACTGAAGTGCAGAACAGAAAACTTTAGCACCATGTGGCTCTAATCACGTGTAACTTGTATTTCACGAGTAAGAAACTCAGTAAGCCCTACCCTTTGGTAAGGTCTTAACACTCCTGTAGCGTCACTGGTGAGGACACACCTCCAGTCCTGTGTCCAGTTTTGGGGCAGTGACTACAAGGAAAACCTTGAGTGGCTGGACTATGTCCAGAGAAAGGCAATGAAGATGGAGAAAAGCCTGGAGCACAAGCCTTACTAGGAGCAACTGAGGGAGCTGGGGCTGTTTAGCCTGAAGAAAAGGAGGCTCAGGGGAGACCTTATTGTTCATCTTGTTGGGGGGTTGGCCTCTTCTCCCACACAGCAAGTGATAGAATAAGAGGAAATGGCCTCAATTTGTGCCATGGCAGGAATAGATTGGTTATTAGGAAAAAATTTGTTCACTGAAAAGGTTGTCAAGCGCTGGGACAGATTGCCCAGGGACATGGTTGAGTCACTCTCCCTGGAGACATTTAAAAGATGTGTAGATATGGCACTCAAGGACATGGTTTAGGGGTGGACTTGGCAGTGCCAGGTTAACAGTTGGCCTCAATTTTAAAGGTCTTTTCCAGACCTCAAAAATTCTATGATTCCTGGCATAACCCCATCACAAAGTGGCAAACTGGCTTTTGTCAGTCCCTGCGATGTCATGGTTTAGGAATGGTATTCTCCAATTTAGTCTTCCCTCTGAAGCCACTCCAAGCCACGCACCATTATTCATTCCCCCTTCCCCTTCAGGGGGCTGGAGAGGAGAGCTAGAGTCACAAAAGGTAAAGAACATAGGTTGAGATAAGAACAATTTACTAGAAACAGCAATGGAGCAAGAAAACAAATAGTAAGAGCAACAATACTAATGACAAAAGAGTACAAAAGAGAGAGTGATTCCCACACAAAAGTGGTCTCTGTGGAGCCCACAATCCAACCACAGCCATGCCACTCCAACTGCTCCCTGTGGCTCAGGACCAGCACCACATTCACTCCACCAGAAGGAACCTCTTCTCCTTGTAAGAAA